GCGCAATTCTTACTGGATTTTCTTCAAACTTGGTATACTTATTCCTTATACCCCAAGGAAGATCCCTATTGTTTTTGGTGCATGCCCGACCCCCAGGGGCAGAGCCACGCCCATTTCTAGTATTTGTTTGTTTGTCGTCTACAGGCCACATTTCTTAACTTATAATCTTGCATACACATTCTTTGTACCCTAAGGAACATCCCTATCGTTTGGGGTACATGCCCAACCCCCAGGGGCAGAGCCACGCCCATTTCCCATTTTCTTTTCGTGTGTCTTTGTGTCGCCTACAGGGCGCAATTCTTACTGGATTTTCTTCAAACTTGGTATACTTATTCCTTATACCCCAAGGAAGATCCCTATTGTTTTTGGTGCATGCCCGACCCCCAGGGGCAGAGCCACGCCCATTTCTAGTATTTGTTTGTTTGTCGTCTACAGGCCACATTTCTTAACTTATAATCTTGCATACACATTCTTTGTACCCTAAGGAACATCCCTATCGTTTGGGGTACATGCCCAACCCCCAGGGGCAGAGCCACACTTTATATACTTATTCTTTGTACCCTAAGGAACATTCCTATCATTTGGAACATCCTTATCATTTGGAGTAGGCCCTACATGCCCAACCCCCAGGGGCAGAGCCATGCCAATTTTCTTTTTGTGTGTCGCCTACAGGCCACAATTCTAAATCGATCATCTTGAAACTTAAAATACATATTCCTTATACCCTGAGGTTGGTCCCTTTTCTTTTGGGTGCATGCCCGATTTTGGGGAGATAACTCCATTTAACAATGTCAAACTCCATTTAACAATGTCAAACTGACGTGATATGCTTTAAATAGTTGTCACCCATGTAACATTCGGGTTTTTGTGAGTGGTTTCTGAGAGCCTTTGTTCAACTTATTTTTCAGAACGCTTTGTAAGTGTTAGAAGTATTTATACCGGTTATTTGTTGACGTTTCAAACCACCGTTTTCTCCCCCTTTCCTCCCACTGCTAAAGACCTTTTGGTACTGCAATGACAATGTCTCTCTCTCTCTCTCTCTCTCTCTCACACTAAATAAATTATAAATTCATGTAACTGCAAGTACATGTGCGTTTTCAGGATGTACATTTTTAAAAAGTCTTATGTTTGGGTGTCATTCGTTATTATAATTTAGTACCAAATTTATTATTAATAATTTGTCTTTTAAGAATATTAAGTACTTTTGTCAGATTGGGATTTAATTTCAGACTTCGGTTTCACTTGGTTCGGAGGAGATAACTCCGTCTAACAATGTCAAACTGGCGTGATATGCTTTAAAGAGTTGTCTCCCATGTAAAATTCGGCGTGATATGCTTTAAAGAGTTGTCTCCCATGTAAAATTCGGGTTTTTGTGAGTGTTTTCTGATAGCCTTTGTTAAACTTATTTTTCAGAACGCTTTGTAACCAGAGAAAATTAATAAGTGTTAGAAGCATTTATGCCGGTTATTTGTTGACGTTTCAGAACGCTTTGTAACCAGAGAAAATTAATAAAAGTGTTACAAGCATTTATACCGGTTATTTGTTTGGGTGTCATTCGTCATTAAAATTTAGTCCCAAATTTATTATTAATAATTGATTAATAATAAAAATAGCAAACCCCAACGGACAGTAGAAATTGAAAAGTTTAGACTAGATCAAATTACCACAGTTTACAGTATTTTGAGAAATGCAAATGTATTTGACATGTGTAGACTCCAACTATTTTTTCATGACTTTGGCAAGGTTAAGTCTATTCATTTCGTTTCGGCGAAACGTCCGGTACCCGATACTTCTAATTTTAAGCGGAATACAAAACGTGCGTGAAACCAAGGAATCTCAGTCATCAAATGACACTTTCCTTATTGTACATCATTCGCAGTTTGCACTTTTCGGCAGATCATCTGAGGTAAGAATCGATGTGTCCCAAGTACTTTATTTTCAAATCTTTCACTACTGTCAATCTTTTAAAGGACTGGGAGTGAGATTCAGACAGACAGGCGTGCGTGATATATCTATCGTCATCCGGATCGGTTAGACCGTGGCGTAAGAAGACTATCGTTGCACATGCTCTCAATATTTAGACCCGTAAAGCCTATACGTATATTGATATAAATAAATCTAATTCTCTACTGTTCAATACGCCTGGTTTTAAAATCTGTTGGTTTTTTTTTAGCTAAATACTACACGTTATTCGCAAATGCTTTCACGAACGTCCGCGCAATGCATTTTTCACTGACTGGGGTGGGTGTTGTTTACGCAGGTCTTTCTTTGTGTCTAAAATATTATGTGAACTATTAATTAGTCATTTATTAACATGAAATGATCCTAATCAACTCGCTATGTCATCTTATGTGTCAGATTTCCATTGGATTTGAATCCAATATGCTGTTGGTGATTAAACACAAAGTTGGATAATCGAGACTGTTAATTATCGTGACAGCGGTTACAATTACATAGATTTTAAAATATAAGCTTTTCTCTGCTCGGAGTGAAGCAATTTGACACAAATTTTATACTTTTAAGACAAATTAAACATATCCAGTAGAAGTTTCTGATCACGTGACTTTAGCGTGAAATCGGACTGCCAGTTTTTTTAATTATTATTTTTTTAAAATGTATTCCTAGCAATTGTATTGTAATAGTTTAATATCATTCTCAATATCATCAAAGATTCAGACTCAAAAATTATCGAAATATCAGCAAAATTACCACTTACATGAGACACTCGGTGGAAAATACCGCTCTGACGTCACGCGACCGGGAACTTTCCATTGCTACGACTCACTTCATTGGTGAATCCGCACCTTAGTTTCCGGTGGATTTTGACATAGAACCAATCAAACGATATATAACATTTTTGTCATTATTATGGTCCGTGATAGGCCTACCCCGAGATCCGACAATTACAGTCGTAGAAAACAGAATTTATCTGTTAAATTTGCTAAAGTTCGACTAAATATAGCCTACGTTTTTGTAATATCATCCAGATTATAAATATTTGTGACATTATCATTCAAATTATTCGATTTTAATCGATCTTAGCTGACAATAACGTGCGTATTTCAGTTTTAAAATAGGTACTAGCGATTCTGATGGGAAAATACCCATATGACGTCACTCAGATATGACTGAAAAGCACTTATTTTATTGCCATGCTCTCGACTCAATAACAGACTTAGTTATCAAACGCGCATGTCTGAACCATTCGGCTACACCCCACCCACCAAACCAACCAATTTATTTTGTTGTTATGTTCTTATTTTACAAACTAGGCCCCAGATGAAGAATGCCTAAAACTAAAAAAGATAGTTATGCTAAGCAGAATTGGAATGTGGACGTATATTGTAGCGTTAGCGTTATGTTTTGACTTTGATGAAACTTAAAACATATCCAAAGATCTGTAACTTCCTAGATTATTTCCCTTGATCTTGATTGCATGAAAGACACTACAGATTTAACAGTATGTTTTACTTATTTGATATATTTGATTTTCCCTGTTCTGTCTGTCTATTGCAAAATGTTGGCATATCTTGCATGGCAACCACTTTTTTAAAAAAAATCAATCTGGGCAACCACATAAAACTTTGATGAATATGCATGTGGTAAACGTTCGTTTTGATATAAGAATGGACTTAACTGTATTGTTAATCTGCTTAGCATGGGTTGTAATATACTAGGTTGTAACATTTAAATTAATATTTATTAACAATTTGTATACACCCACATTTTCATGTTGACGTATATTGTCGTTGCCTCTGTCCGCCCACAATTTGTTTGTGGACACTCTACAGGTCACAATTCTTATCTGATTTTGACAAAACTTGAATATACATGTAGGCTTATCTCCAAAAGATCTTGGTTCCTTTTCGAGATCGAAACTTCGTGGATTATGGCCCCTGATTGTACGAAAAATCACGTTTTTAGCTTGTGGATCCTCTAGAGGTCACAATTTTCATCTTATTTTGTTGAAATGTATGTTACTTGATATGCATGTTTATAACCCAAAGATCTTGGTTCATTTCGATATTAGCGCATATCTGATCATAACTTTAAGTTTACAATAAATCGCATATTAATAATTATTCCGATTTAAAAAACGGTTTGAATATATCACTGTTATACCCTAATGATGGCTGAGTTCGAATTTTGTGAAAATCGGACCAAACTTGCTGGACAAAATGGCCACCTCTCGTATGCAAATAGTGTAAATATATGGTATCTCAAGGTTGTGGACCATTTAGAGGCCACAATTTTGATCCGATTTTGATGAAACTTGAAATACATGTTTATAACCCCAAGATCTTGGATCCTTTCGATATTCACACATATCAGATGGTAACTTCCTGAATTATGGCCCTTGTTTTACAAAAAATCACGTTTTTAGCATGTGGTCCCTCTAAAGGTCACAATATTAATCTGATTTAAAAGGCTTGAATATATCACCGTTACACTTTAATGATGGGTGAGTTTGACTGTAAAAATCGGACCAAAATCTTTGGACAAAATGGCTGCCGCTCATACGCAAATACATGTAGTACTGTAAATGTATATCAAGGTTGTGGACCCTGTAGAGGACACAATTTTGATCAGATTTGGATGAAACTTGAAATACATGTTTATAACCCAAAGATCTTGGTTCCTTTTGATATTCACGCATAATCGGATTGTAACTTCCTGAGTTATGGCCCCTAATTGAAAAATCGCTTTTCTTTAGCTCTTTCTCCATCCATCTCTTGCAAAACAAGAAGATAATCAAGAAGATAATCATATCATAAACTTAAATTTAGAACCCTGCTTCAGTTATTTTCAAAACCTTTATCAAATAGTCTTGTTTTTTTGAAACACAAACTTTTATTTACTTACATATAACTGACTTGCACTGATATAGGGACTCATCTGCCTTTTTAACCACTTGCAGTGACAGGTTCTTTTGTCAACTCTTTGGAATTTTATTTGATAATAGATGATTAGACTTTAATTAGATGTGTTGTTTATTCTAGATTACAATCCACCAGCAACGACAGGAAAGGGTGTTGAGCAGGGACAACAGGAAGGTCAACAGACTCCACAGGGATCTAGATACCAAACTACACTGAGATCAGAAAACAGTGAACAGGGAACAACAGTGAAATCAGGACAAAATCTTACAGTTTCAGAAGAACTGGTAGTTAAACATGTTTCAATAGGACTTAATAAAACACGTACCCAACAGGAAACTGAACAGACAGGAGCTGGGCATGGTCAACATAAAGCAGCAGAACAACAGAGACAAAGTCAACAGGGATCTGGACAGGGTCAACAGGGATTGGAACAGGGTCAACAGGGATCGGGACAGGGTCAACCACCAGGACAGAGTACACCATCGGGGCAGGGTCAACCACAAGGAGCAGGACAGGGTCAACCACAAGGAGCAGGACAGGGTCAACCTTCTGCAGGACAAGGTCTGGGACAACCACAAGGAGCAGGACAGGGTCTAGGACAACCACAAGGAGCAGGACAGGGTCAGGGACTACCACAAGGAGCAGGACAGGGTCTGGGACAACCACAAGGAGCAGGACAGGGTCTGGGACAACCACAAGGAGCAGGACAGGGTCTGGGACAACCACAAGGAGCAGGACAGGGTCTGGGACAACCACAAGGAGCAGGACAGGGTCTGGGACAACCACAAGGAGCAGGACAGGGTCTGGGACAACCACACGGTGCAGGACAGGGTCTGGGTCAACCACAAGGAGCAGGACATGGTCAACCACAAGGAGCAGGACAGGGTAAATCACAAGGAGCAGGACAGGGTCAACCACAAGGAGTAGGACAGGGTCAACCTTCTGCAGGACAAGGTCTGGGACAACCACAAAGAGAAGGACAGGGTCTGAGTCAACCACAAGGAGCAGGACAGGGTCTTGGACAACCACAAGGAGCAGGACAGGGTCTGGGACAACCACAAGGAGCAGGACAGGGTCTGGGACAACCACAAGGAGCAGGACAGGGTCTGGGACAACCACAAGGAGCAGGACAGGGTCTGGGACTACCACAAGGAGCAGGACAGGGTCTGGGACAACCACAAGGAGCAGGACAGGGTCTGGGTCAACCACAAATAGAAGTACAGGGTCTGGGACAACCACAAGGAGCAGGACAGGGTCTGGGACAACCACAAGGAGCAGGACAGGGTCAGGGACTACCACAAGGAGCAGGACAGGGTCTGGGAAAACCACAAGGAGCAGGACAGGGTCTGGGACAACCACAAGGAGCAGGACAGGGTCTGGGACAACCACAAGGAGCAGGACAGGGTCTGGGTCAACCACAAATAGAAGTACAGGGTCTGGGACTACCACAAGGAGCAGGACAGGGTCTGGGACAACCACAAGGAGCAGGACAGGGTCAGGGACTACCACAAGGAGCAGGACAGGGTCTGGGACAACCACAAGGAGCAGGACAGGGTCTGGGACAACCACAAGGAGCAGGACAGGGTCTGGGTCAACCACAAAGAGCAGATCAGGGTCTGGGACAACCACAAATAGAAGTACAGGGTCTGGGACAACCACAAGGAACAGGACAGGGTCTGGGTCAACCACAAGGAGAAGGACAGGGTCTGGGTCAACCACAAGGAGCAGGACAGGGTACACCACAAGGAGTAGGACAGGATCAACAGGGACAGGCATCTGAACAGGAATCTGGTGACCGTCAACTTGAATCGCCTTCTTCAGGTCATTTTATGGGATATTTCTTAACATTAATTGTTTTATGTGTTGCTGGATATGTTGTATTCCATAATAAACAAAAGGTAAGTTATAAAAAAATAATTTTATTTTTACAAGGAATGTAATGTAACAATGTTTCAGTAGTCTGCATTCGGCCTCAATATTCTGGAATGTAATCTGTCATTGTGACTTTTGCCTTTTATTATAATTTGGGTCTAGATGATAGGGCATTATGTGCCCTGTCCTTTGGTCGGTGATTCCATACTTGCTTGTGAAATCGAAAGTATATTTATTTCATCCTATTTTAAGGAAACTTGGTATGTTAACCTGCATGCTGTAGTTCTCCAACAAGTTTCGAATTGAATGATATGTGTCAACTATTTGCAGAGTCAGTGATCTTTGCTTAAACAACTTATCAAAAATAGCTTACGAACACGACACAACAACTACATTTTTTATCCAATTTTATTTTAGTCAAACTTATGTCTTTATTATTTTGATCGCCTGTCCAACCTCGTGGTTTTTCTCCGGGTCCTCTGGTTTCCGCCCACTGCTAAAGATCCCTACGCGCCACCGAATTATTGAAATAAATTAAACCATATGTTAGTCCAGAAATGACCTAGTTTGTGTAGAGTGGACATTAAACCCAAGTTCTCTCTCTTTTCGAATTTAAATGTGATATTTCGAATTTAAATGTGATATATCAATTAATCAATGATTAACAGTTCTTGACTTCAACCTAGCTTGGCATATGGCATAATATCAACCGGTTCTTGCATGAGTTCATATTTAAACAAGATTTATTCTCAGAGTTGTCTGGTTCTTTTGGGAGTCAAAGAAGGTCCTTGTTTGAATGTTGTATAGATAGTTCGAAGCGATTTCATAATCTTTCCAACGACTTTTTCAAACTGTTATTTTAAAAGTAGATCAGTGCACTTGAAATACAGTTAATTTGAGTGGTGGACAAACTCTGGTATTTAGTCAATAGCTAGTCAGTAGGTGTTTCAAATATCAGTCTGTCTGGCCATTAATACTTACCAATACTCACTCTGCAATGTTAAAGTTTTAACCAATGTCTCAAAATTTTGATGAATGATATTGGATAAGGTTCATTTTGAGGATTATTAGAGTAATTGTAAGTAAATTTACTGTATTTGTAAGCTTTCACAACATTTTTATACGTCCACATTTTCATGTGGATGTATTATGCCGTTGCCCCTGTCTATCTGTTCGGCGGACCACAATTTGTTTGTGGACACTCTACAGGTCACAATTTTTATCCAATTTTGACGAAACTTGAAATATAGGTCTATCTCCCAACGATCTCAGTGCCTTTTGATATTGGCATGTTATCAGACGTTTTTATACGCCCACATTGAAATGTGGTCGTATATTGTTGTCACCCCCGTCCGTCCGGCGTCCACAATTGCTTGTGGACGCTCTAGAGGCCAAAGTTAATATCTGATTGACTTTAAATTTATACACAGTGTTTAAGGTCTTGAGATGAAGAAGCCTATTGATTTTCAGCGATTTCCGATAATTATTGCCAGAGTTATGGCCCTTGATCACTTTGAAAAATCTTGTCGACGCTCTAGAGGCCAAAGTTAATATCCGATTGACCTAAAATTTATACACAGTGTTTAAGGTCACGAGACGAAGAAGCCTTTTGTTTTTCAGCGATTTCCGATAATTACTGCCAGAGTTATGGCCCTTGATCACTTCAAAAAATCTTGTGGATGCTCTAAAGGCCAAAGTTAATATCTGATTGACTTCAAATTTATACACAGTGTTTAAGGTCATGAGACGAAGAAGCCTATTGATTTTCAGCGATTTACAATAATTACTGCTAGAGTTATGGCCCTTGATCACTTTGAAAAATCTTGTGGACGCTCTAGAGGCCAAAGATAATATCTGATTGACTTTAAATTTATACACAGTGTTTAAGGTCATGAGACGAAGAATCCTATTGATTTTCAACGATTTCCGATAATTACTGTCAAAGTTATGGCCCTTGATCACTTTGTGACGCTCTAAAGGCTAAAGTTATCATTAGATTGACTTCAGATTGATACACAGAGTTTAAGATCTTGAGACGAACAAGTATATTGATTTTCAATGAATTTTTATGTCTTGAACAGCTAAATCCATGATATTAAAAGTTTTGTATACAAAACGTTAGCATGTGGCAGAACTTTATAAAAACAAACAAATTCTAATGGTTTTCTGATAATTATAATTTTAGTGTATTATAAATGTTTCATTACCAAAAAAAAGTAAAAATATGCGACAACTCTTGTTGACTGCTCGGACGATTTAGCTGTTGTGGGCGTAGTTTTGTTGCCTGTCAACCTATCTTTTTAGCTTGTGGGCACTCTAGAGGCCACAATTTTCATCTGATTTGGTTGAAACTTGAAATGCATGTTTATGTCTCAAAGATCTTGGTTCCTTTTGATATTTGCATGTATCATATTGTAAGTTCCTGAATTAAGGCCCCTGATTTTACGAAAAATCACGTTTTTCACTTGTGGTCCCTCTAGAGGTCACAATTATTATCTGTTTTAAAAAATGTTCAAATATATCACTGTTACACCGGTGGTTGAGCTCAAATTTTGTGAAAATCGGACCAAAACTGCCCAACAAAATGGCCGCCCCTTGTACGCAAATAGTGTAAAAGTATGTCACACCAATGTTGTGGACCTCTTGAGGTCAGAATTTTTAACGATTTTGATGAAGCTTAAAGATCTTGGTTCCTTTCGATATTCTCGCATAACAATTGTTATCAGATTTTGATTAAACTTGAAAAATATATGTTTATGTCCCAAAGATCTTGGTGTCTTTCACAATTTGCGCATATCAGACAGTAACTTCCTGAATTGCGGCCCAGGGGGGTTGGATTGCTGAATGGTTAGCGTGCTCGCGCTGTATCATCAAGTCTGTCATTGAGTCGACTGGCGTGGTTTCGAATCCCCGGTTGTACGTGACAAGGAGTAGGGTCGCCTGTCCAACCTCGTGGGTTTTCTCCGGGTCCTCCGGTTTCCTCCCACTGCTAAAGACCCCTACGCGCAAGCGAATTATTGAAATAAAATTAAACCATATGTTAGTCCCGAAATGACCTAGTTTGTGTCGAGTGGATGTTAAACCCCATTTCTCTCTCTCTCTCTGAATTGCGGCCCATGATTGTACGAAAAGTCGTGTTTCTCTAGAGGTCATAATTTTTTATCCGATTTTGAAAACCGTTCAAATATATCACCATTCCACCTTAATAAAGGTTGAGTTCAAATTTTAGTAGTGAATGTTTTACTATTGTGGGACTTGAACTTCCCTTGTTTATGTTAACTTTTAAACATCATAATATATTTCCAGATTATCGCTTTTATCATAGAAGGTCGGACTGGTCGTCAGAGAAGACGGGGTAATGATAGTGGTGGTGATTATAAAAGATTACAGAGTAATGTGGAAGAAGTTATGCCGTCTTTAGATAAAACAACTACATCCAAGAATTTTATCTATTAAACAAGTTCTTATTAAGGTACATGTCCTACTTCATGTTTGATAGCATCACTATATTTTTATGTCAAAACTTTGTCTCAAATGTCAGTTTAATATATGTAATCTTTTGAAAAACCATCATCTGTTGAATTAGTTGAATACCCAAGGGAATATACATGCAGTTAGATCTCAGAATTTTACGGAGGAAACAGTCGGCTGTAATTGATCTGTCATTGTATATATAGCAAGGAAGTATTATTGTGAAAAGGTTAGTGACTGTCCTGGGAGGAGAAAGATTCAGGGTAGAGGAGACATACTTTCACTCAGTGTATGCTTCTTTTATTCTTTTATTGGTGAAGGTAAGCAGGGGCAAGCAATTTGATTGGTTGATGCTGAATATCTTGATTGATGAGCAGTTTTGGTTAAGTAGAGATAAACAATTTGATTGTTTGAAGCTTTGAGACACTGTAAATGCAGGGTGATGTGTTTTAAACAGATAAATGTGCAAGTCATTAATGACTGTCATCTATTTGTTTTGTGATTAATTAAAGTCACATTTTCTATCTACTTTTCGTCATTCAACACTTTTCATTAGATCAAAGGCAAAAGATATTGTCAATGCAGTTGAATACCTGCCCTTCATCAAAAGCTATTGTTTAATATTGATTTAAAATAGTGTTGACATTTTGAATATTTTACAATTCTACGACACTTTCATGCAGAGGAGGTAAAGGCTTACTTTTTCATTTTTTTAAATTTCAGACGCACTGTATGATTTGTTTATATGTAGTACTTAACTAAAGCAAAAGTTGCATTTATAACGGAAACAAGTTCAAGAAATTAAAATGAGCAAGTGGTTGCTGAATTCAATAAGGGAACTGTTTTTTTTTATGCTATTTCAGTTGGAACTCGCTAGAAAATGAGTTGGTCCAAAATTAATAACCAATAGAATAGTGAAAAATCCATATTCCATTTTTAGAAAACATTTTGGCAATGCTTTATAGTAAAAATTGCTGTACAGTAATAGTATGAAATCGCAAAATCCTGTCTAAAAGTTACTGTTCCAATTAATTTGAATTTTGTTGCAGGGAGGGATATAGACACAAATCTAAAATTAACTTTAATTATCATTAAGTTGTGTACTGTATGATATTTCTATGGTAAAATAGATTTTGTAAAACATTGTACAATTATTTTTGTGATAATTTAGAAATTTCCTGTATATGCAATAGCATTAACCACTATTGAATGGCTTGTTCCTGATACGGTAGATGCTAAGGTGATTGTTTTGCAGTTACCGTGTTTTCACTATAAATAACATAATAAATTTTATTATATTTCTTATTGAGGCAAATCTTGGTTATATTTAAGTTGGGTAAAAGTAGATGAAATTGTTATATTTAATGGCTAACAGTATTGTGATATATTTATGTATTTAAAAGAACAGTAATGCTATATTCTTCAAACTAGAATTTTTGCCACATATATTCTTATATTATATAACAAATTTAGAAATTTCTTATAGCAGTATTCCAAAGCTATAATTTAATGAGCCGCCAGTATAAAAGTTGTCTTGGAAATTGTGGTTAGTTTTAGGAGAATCTGACATATTTGATCAAATCTTTCTACATCTTCATACTTTTTTTATGCTTCTTCATGGGTATACTTAATGTGAATAAAGATATTAAAGTTTTTGATTTGTTATCAAATTCTAAATTAGTTCATATCATAAGATGCAGCTCATAATGAAATAATTGATGACAACATTATGCATATAATGTGGTCTCAGTAGTTATCATAACAGTGGCAAGCACAAGTCTGTGATGGTGATGATTTATTGTAATTATATGTATGACATATGGAACTTCTACTGTACCCATTAAAAACTTCTGAAAAGATTCTATAAAGGGAAATGGTATTTTATTTTATTAAAAGTCATGTAATTTAATTTTGTAGAGGTGGTTTTGTGAAAGCTTCCAGATTATATAAAGATCAGAACTGTGGAATTAAATATATTGTATAGTTTTGAACCTGTAAATTATTTAAGAATCCACCCATCTCTATACCTTATTCTATGTAAACATGTACATGTGTATAGATATTGATCTAATGTAAACTCATGCCTTTACTTTCAATGCCATATCGATCAATTCATTCAGACCATTAATGTTCTTTGCATTTTTTTTTCGTTTCCTAAATGCACACAAGGGTTTTTATTAAAAATTAAGATTGTGTGTGAATTGGAACTGGTTGTGAAAGTAAATAAAAATTATAATTATAGAAGATGGCCTATTTGTAAATAATAATGGGTGTGACTGTTACACGAGAGCATCTTTTTTTTTCTATTGCTTATTATCATCACAAGATTAATGTTTGTTGTAAATAAAATGGGGTAACTTTTTAAAATTGATTTATGCAATAACTACTTTCATGATTTATTGTCCCTTGCCTTTACATAATGTCTGTCTGTAACACATTGTGGGACACAGTATTAATCTGCTTCTAATTGAGCTAGAAATCTTTGTTACATTGTTGTTTTGACGATATCAATAATGCACATTTTCTGCCGAGAGGATAAGTAATTTGATTGGTTGAGACTTCTGAACACAATAACAGATTCTAACTGTGTGATAATTTTGGAATTTGGTGTATAGTTTCATTATATCAATACCTTGACTGAAGTTCAGTTATAAGCATTTTCTGCTTAGGCTAATTCACAAGAGTCTTAAATTTCTTTGGTCAAGACTTCTCCTTCTTTTTGAGGTAGAATGTTCAAACTTGTGTAGGTGTTTATTAGTTAAATGGCTTGACTGGGTTCAATGATAAGTAATTTCTGCCAAGGCCAAGCAGAGATAAATAATTTCATTGGTCGAGACTTTGTGGTCAGACTTGGAAGTATAGTTTAAATACCTTAAATAAGTTTGATCATGGGCATTTTCTGCTGAGGCTAAGTTTGATTGCCCAATAAATGTGTATGTATGTGTCATCTTTTTATTTTGCAATTGAGGCAGGGGACATTAAACTTCATTGTTGGCTTGTTTTATTATTCATTAGCATAGTATTTTCATTACATATTCGTGACCTTCTTATATGTTTTATAATAGATTTTGACAAAACTCGAAAATTGATTTAATGTTAACTTTTATGTGTATTTGGGCATTTGTATGATTACCATACAAAATTACATATACTGTATTTTGTTAAATTTCAAGATAAAATTATTTCATTGTGTGTAGATTTAAAGTTTAGAAAAACATGGTCTTTAAATCTCACCTTAAAAAAGATATATTTCTGTGATACAGTACATTAATTTATTAACATTTCATCCTGCCATATATTATTGCTTGTTTTATGAAAGGAATATAGATATGGTCCATTAGCATAATTGTCCTCTTTAAGTTTTCATTTTATTTTTACTTAAAAATTATATATTTTTTTATATTTGTTGTTATTGTAAGGCAAGACAAAGTAGAAATCTTGTTGGTAATTCTTAAAGGAGGTTATTTATTAAATGCTGTTTGTACATCAAATTATGGAGATTTCAATAAAATGGTTTTTGCTTAAATTTATTGACTGAAATATTAATGGTACATGGCTTGCGAACTGATTATCTTTAAACACCGTTATTAGGTTTAACATCTTACTTTACTGTACCAACTGGGTTAATGAAGAAAGGCAAACGTCATGCGGTGTGCTATTAGGGAAATTTTGCGAAGCTACAGCCTACCCATCTTCCAAATTCCAACTATCAAAGCTCTTTATTGTGTACAAGACATATTCACAGGATCAAATTTTTTTTGTCTTATCCGTATGACTATACCTAGTTCCTTGTCGGGCCCTCTGTCCTTCAACAATGCCTAGGGGAAACACCATGCTGGAATATCACAGGGGACTTACTCTGCCAATACCAGGAACATACAACTGATTTCCTTGTCAGGCCGTCTGTCCTTCAACAATGCCTAGGGGGAAACACCATGCTGGAATATCTCAGGGAACTTACTCTACCAATACAAAGAACATTCAACCGCTTTCCTGGTTAGTGAGCCAGCACCTTGCTCAGTAAGTCTTAAAGAGCCATTGTGGCTCCAACAAAATATGTAGGCTATATATGTTAATATTCTCTCTACCAAAAGAGTTTGGTTTCCAATAAATAGCAGCTAAACCATAAAGAATTCTATTTTCTAGATTCCACTCCCCCTCCACAATATTTTCATACTGTCAATATAGGTAATTTTACATGGAATAGCCATTTATCCTACTTCATTCTAATATTGTGGGTGTATGTTGCATTCATTCCTGTGAAAGCACAATTCACTAATAAATTATAAGGCGTTCAGCTTGCAGGTTATAATTGTAATACAGTGGATTTAAAATATAAGATACAGACTGCTGCAGGGCTCAAAAAAGTTACCCGGAGAGAAATGTCCACTTAACACACACTGGATCTGTTTAGGACTTGTGCGTATGGGTCTTTAGCAGTGGGAGAACATGCAAAAAACCCATAAGGTTAAGCAGGCAACCCTATTTCTTGTTGAGTACAAACTTGAGATCAAAACTAGGTCAATGACACAACCTTTAGAAATTATGATCTAAAAAGGCAGCATTAGACCACTAGTCTGTTCTTAGGTTCTGTATTCCATTGCAAATAATAAAAGATTAAATAAAAATAAAATAGGTTTATTATATCAAAGTTTTTACACATAAAACATTCATTATTCATCATATGTACAATTTTATTTATGCGATACTAAATAAACAAACCCACATGCATCCATGCCATATTAAAATTTAATCAATCTATATTACACAAATTAAACTGCCTTACAACAACATACAAAGTTACAGTATTTCCAAAGTCACATCACACGGTTCATCCAATACTATATCAGAGTGTGGTTCCACCACAGAAAAAAGACAGAAATTAGCCCAGTCAATTTACTAATTCTAAAAGTTATATATTTTGCCATTGTTGTATAATGCTTCCTTGGTCTTTGATGATCCCATCCCCAAACCCTGAATATTGACTGGTCCACCCACAGCCTTAAATGACTAGAGGGCATTTGTCTCCTATATCAACCTCTGTGGAAGCCCCATAATCAAATGAACTAGAGGGACATATCTTTGAAAGGTTAATTGTAAAACAATGTCAATATTAGTTCAGTCCATATGTGGTTTGACCTAGAAAAAATTGCAACAGAATTTCTGTTTGCTGCAAATAGTTCCCCAAACTGTCCTGAACAACATATTAAAAATGTAGATTACTATATGCGAGGGAAAATTTTAAAATGGCATAAATTCAAGATGGCTGACTTTCGTCATATTTTCAGTCAGTTTTATTCTGTATACATTATATCTTGGGCAGGAATGCTCAAATTAAGCAAGCACTACAAATTAATGAACACCTTCAGATATGTTTACATTGATAATATTTATAGATATTTTCACTAAGTAAAAATCCAAAATGGTTGTCATTTTCAAGATGGCTGCCGATCATACAGTCAGATACCATCTCTAAACTCATTAATCCAGTTCTTCATTGTTCATTTGTATGACACGTCCGTGATTTTTGCCACACGCTCATTACAGTTCTCTTAAATAACAGAAAATATAGTAGTTAAATAGGAGTAAATAATTAAGACACGAAAAGTTATAGCTTCAAAAACGGTGAGCAGGTGTCTCAGTGTACATCTTCAAGATCCTCGTGTCATTAGAAGTTAAGAATGAGTTTGTGCAATATACACAAGCACTATGATAGCAGGCAGCTGCTTGTGTGGAGGGAAGACTATGCACAGATACGCTTGTGTTGCTTGATGGCACCCTTTCACAAAAACGTCTTAAGCAAAGCATCCAAATCCTCATCAAAGCGACCACCATACAAACAAGTAAGTCTTCTTGCCAGCACAGATGTCTTTCTTGGATGCTTCATTGGAGAAAACTTCAGCATTCCCTCTGAACTCGGAGTCACTATTCAACTTACGGAGAGCCACTCCCTTCCCAATCCCAAACAAGCATGAGGTGGTATCGCATCGGGTCATTGCATGTACAAACAGCATTATAAGTGGCACACCTCTTGACCCAGTGTATTCTGCAGCCAGTTAATATTCCAGATGCTAGCGACGTTGTGTTCTTTCTCCCTTCTGATCTGAAGAACAGGCCATGCTGGACACAAAGATGCCATATATTTCACTTGGTTCCACAATAACAAACACAAAGAATATTTTACTTAATATTACTTAACATATGTTTTTTTATACCTGGAGCACCATTTTTTATATCAGAATAGACAAAAGCTTACACAAGTTTTTATCTCTTTAAGAAGAATCTTAAAACAGAACTTTTTATCAGTGGATTCAGGGCTTTTAATTAATCAAACATTACTGATAATAATGAAAAATTATTTTGTTATTTTAGGAAGCATGTTTTCAGAGTATTATTTATTAATCTTAAATACAAATAAATATCATTGGAATCCAAAAATCAAAGAAATAAGAATTATAATATATTTTTAACACAATGTTAACCAAATTCTATTTGATTTTAAATTGAACTACACATACAAACTGATTTTAAAAACATGTATTTTTAATTAGGTCTTAAAAACAATATTTAAATCACTTTATTCCAATTGACCCAAACTTTAGTACATACATAACATCGTCATCCCATAAATTTTGTATAATACAATTTTGTCATAAAGCAATGAAGATAAATATATATAAAACTAGTACAGTGCTTTTAAAGATACATTCCCGCATACAAACTGGGTGATTTGATGATATATTTGGACCAAAACCATATTCAAACTAATTAATTTATCATAATTTTGCTTCAAATCCTTCACAAAACATTGTAATTGTCAAGGAATAGCCTGCTATAAAAATCGATCAAAAGAGGTCATGTTTGTGTCACGTGACTTACCTCTCTCGGTACCTATAGCAACGGGGGCAAAGTCAGAGGAGAAATCAGTGCATACACAAAACGATGTCGTCTTTAATCGCTGACTATTTATTACAAATATCAAATCCTAATTAAATTCTCGGATTATCCACCGCCCGTGTCTTTTTCCATGATTTTTATCTCAGAAAGTGTTTTACGTCTAATTATTCATAAAGTTGATCAACATGTACACCAAGCGCTCAATCTTCGCGTGCAACCTTCGACGTCACGCATGTAGGTATTTCTAATTGTCGGGTTGTCGATTAGGGGAACCCTTACATTTTTGTCCTGTATACGCTCCATGATTGTTTTTCAGGGTATCCAGTATTTTTCTAGTAAGATTGGATATCTCTACTTTCCATATATACCAAAATTGCTATACTTTTATTGGAAATAACCACCCGATAAATATTTTTCTTGGAAAATATCTTTAATAAAAAAAGTTTGTTAGCAGTTTGTCTGTCTAAAATAATTAGGTACCAGTGACCTCATGTGATCAATAACTGACCTAATCAACCAAATTATGATGTTCAATCTCCCAAATACACAGAATCGTGCACTACACACATAAATCATATGAATGTAACTATGGAACATAGTACACTACATACATGAATCACATGAATTTAAGTATTGAACATAGTACACTACATGCATAAATCAAGCCACGTATCCATAGAATTGCATAAGTTTTGAACATAGTATAGATGTTGCCATGTTTCTTTAGCACTAATTAAAATCAGGTTAAAATACAAGGATAATATGTAACAATTACATTGGTCAGTTTTAAATTAAAATAAATGATAATTGAAACATAATAAAATTAACATTAAATCTGTTAGTTACTTGAGAAAAAATTAGAGAAACAGACCAAGAATGATGACCAAATAATAAGTGTGCTTCAAGGTATTTTATAATATCTAATTGTAATGAGTAGTATTATTTCTCACACCACTGAATATATGACACAAAAGAAATCAGTATATTAATTAGAAACCTGTTGCTGATCAAGCCATACATCACTTATACTGTTACAAAAATATCATTATAGTACATATAATATGATACCAATATCCAAAAAATAGTACCCCATATATTCATGGGTAATTCTGTTTGATGGGTGCGTGGAATATGGAAGTAAACTGGAGCCTTTCTATTAAAAAACTCATGACCAATGTATAACACTATGGCATTCATTCCTGAAATAAAGAAAACATTATACAATAATTACTAGTACATCTTATATTAAAGTGGAAACAATTTAATACAAAACAATATGTCTCAAACCAACTTCTTGCTTCTTGTAATTTTAGTTAATTTGACTAATTCAACTAGAAATGTATGTCTTAAATCCGATTTATCCTCTGCGAAGCGAAACAAGGAATTTTCTTCAAAGCCCAGCTTCTTTGCTTTGCTCAAAATCCAATCAGCAACAGAACATCTAACAACACGACAAGATCTGCTTCACTTTGCTCAGAATAATTGGCAGTTTCTGAATTTTTTCGCTTAGCATAGCTTAGGTTAGCTTGGCTTTGCAAGTAATGCTTTGTTTCACGGCTTTGCTTAGCAGAGTATAAATCGATGTGAAGAAAAGTAAACCCTTTTTTAATACTGGTATATATATTTTATTTTAATTAATCAATCTATTTTGTTTTGATTTGTTGTTATATCTGTACTTAAATTGAATCGACTAAGATAAGGTTGAAAAATGTTGCCTATTAGGGGTATAGACTAAAGTGGTGGACATACTAGCCAAATGATTCGGCCGAACGAATCGATGTCAAAATTCACCTAGTGTGTCCACTGTCATTTGGCCGAATGATTTTCCCGAATCAAACATGCCTGATATATTTGGCCGAGTAATATTCGCCTGGTGTGTCCGCTTCGCCAAAGTTATTTGAAGATATGGTCGCTGCCATGTTTAATCATGTGACGTGAAAGGTGATACAATCGACTGGTGAATCGGGCAAAACATTCACCTAGTGTGTCCACCCATTCGGTGCTGATTAATTCGGACGAATGATTCAGCTAATGTGTCCACCACTTTAGGTATGTTTTAGCAACGTGTCAGTTTACCCAACAAATTTAAATAACTTGAATTTAACTTTTATGATTTAATTTTCAATAAAAAGGATTGTTTGATGTTTGACTGATTGATGTTCTGTCATCCATCAACCCAAGATAGCTCAACATGCCAAGGACAAGAGGAGAGTAGAATGTGGTTTTACTATTTAGCTAACAAAGAGCAAAAAGAAGCTGGAATAATGAATAGTTCTTTAAAGCAGATCCACTACAGTGAAATTATAGCCAGATGTCAGCAAATGCAGCAAACTACCTTTAACAATAAACTCATTGGAGACTGGACTGAACACATTGAAATTGAATTATCTCAATCACCAGAAACGTGTAAATTGGGTGGGTAAACATAAGAATTTCAGGCTACCACACATGCTCCAACAGAACAGGGTACTATCCAAACCAATCATCAAAGCTGAAATATTTGATTTACGTCACTATTCTTCTGGCAACGCATCATTTTTGAGACTGGCAAAACTGACAGGATTCAATTCCTGGTCATTCGATTGCAATTCTGTCAATCCAGAAGATTCCAGACTGAAAATCAAGAACTCCCTTCGTAATATAATTTGTGACAATACTTATGGTTGTGCTCTTTTTTTTTTTATCCAAACTTTAGTAAGAATATATTTTCCATCAAAACTGACAATAAAATTTACATAAAATAACAATGACAAAGCAAAGAATGAATGATTGAAATGGGGTTTAACATCCTACTTTTCTGCACCAAACTGGCTAATGAAGATGGGTTAAAGCTAAGAGGGTATAGATAGCAGTTAAGCAGATGCAAATATTTACATATAATACCTTCTGTATGTTGCTCTAAATATTAATATAAAGTTTCATGCTGTGCATTTTATAAGCTACAAGACACCAGAAGATAGGGCCCCATATATCAAGTAAGAGATGCTGATCATGTTGAGGCATGACCCATACACCAACAGGAAAGTAGTTTTCAAATACCATATGACAAATGTAGATAAATATAGAGTTCATGCCTGTTAGAATAGTTGATTAGTACAAATGTACACATTCAATGTAAATAAATCATGTATTAAAACACAAGTTCAATGATAAATATATACAAAAATTCTTTACAAAAACATGACAACTTAAAATTTTTACAACATTCTGCATCCTCTGAATATATAAACAAGACACCACCACCTATACGTGGTGGCGAAATCTTTTAATGGGCCTGTTTTGAAACGATTGAATACAAGCTTGGAGATTATCTACCATTGGCATTTTTCTTAATTAAAGGTTAATATAATCAATTTGAGTAATCATTTAAATACTTTTTTAAGGAGATAAAGCTTTGAAAAAAGTGATATTGTGCGAAAAAAACAAATGACCATCAAAGGGTTTAAGGTATTATGAACAAGTTTGCCTACACTAAATGTCGATGGAACTATTTCACAAAAATTGTCTGTTCTCTTTGAAGGTTAATTTTAAGCAGTGTGATTGGTTAAAATCATTGTTCCATGCCAAAGCGTCTGATTGTTTGCTGCATGAAAGGTCAGGTTATGTTAACTGAACATAAATTTCTTAAAATTGTATTTAGACCTTAACTATGTGTAAATGTAAATATAAAATAAAAACAGAACGAATGTATGGTCTAATTAAACTTGTTACATCCAGTATTGCTCACTTAGTTAATTATAGGAGAAAACTAGATTTTAGTTTTGTGTTCACAAGATAATTGACAAGTAAAAGCTGATAGTAGAGTTATTAAAGCAATTAGTACACGAATCAACAAAAGATATATCAATTTACCTGGATAATAAAATGGTGAACCGGACCACACAGGATAAACATCTATTAACAGGTAACATAGCATTAATAATATATATGCCATACCAGCTAATGCTAATACAAACGATAGGGACCTGTAATATATTATTATAATAGAATTAAAGAATCCCCGCTCAACAGATAACCACAACAGACTTGTAGAAGTAGAGGATCGTTTAATAAATCAACTTTTCGGGTGTGGTACCCTTTATCAAGATTGAAATTATAATGATCCTGTGACGCCTTATATATAATAAAGGTGGTGACGTCACAGGATTTTTAAATTTATTATATGTACAATGCAGGATCTTTAAAAATAGGATTGTTAAAATTAGGATTATTAAAAAAGAAGGATTGTTTAATTTAACTATGTACAAATGTAATACAAAATAGTAATTAAAAGATTATGAATAATTATTAAGATAATAAGAAAAATTATAATTTGAGAGTATGGTTGAAATTTTTACTGTTTAATTTAAAATGAAAAATTGTTAATGATTTCTAGTATGGCTGTGGCAGCGGCTGTTTCTTCTTCCTCATTTGGTTTTATGTTGGTGGGATTTGTTGATGGGCTCGACAGGGCTGGAGGATCTTCTTCTACTGGTTCTGTGATAAATTGCTTATTTCTGCCCTTTAATATGTGTTTGAAGCCGTTAATATAAACGTATTTCGGCCGGGACTCGAAAGGCCGGATACAGTCTGTTGGAGGCCGGACTTCTATGGCTTCGTCAGTGATGTTTTCAGGGTGAATCGTATTTGCCGTAACTTCTTTATCTGTATTAGTATCATTCTTAGTGGTAGTTGTATTGGTGGCGAAAATCTGTTGTTTAGCGGCAGACTTCTTATAAATTATTCCATTCATTCTTGGCTTGCGTTTTGTTTGTACTTTGTGAACGTTTCTTATATGGCGTTTACCATTACTGGCGTTTAAAAATTCCTTATTGCAGAATGGACATTCAAACATCTTCTTGCTTGGTTAGTTTTGTTCATTCAAACCTCCAGGCGCTTGGGTTGCTAGGAGGTCAATAATGGATTCTTCGTGACGTAATCTGACGTTGGTGTTACGTGACGTTTTCGTGACAATTTGTACCTGGAATTGGTGTCCCATGGTGTTAAAATGTTTAGCTACAGGGGTGTCGTTGAACTTTTTAATATCGTTGTTATGTCCGTATAAACGGACCCTTAGAGAGTTGCCGGATTGGCCTACATATTGTATTCTACAGTTTTTGCAGGTAATTAGATAAATGATGAATTTAGTGTTGCAATCAAGGTGATTATTGATTCTGTATTATAATATTAAAACTATGATTTCTATTTAGAGTGTGTTGAAGATGTTGTGCTGTTGTCTGGTCTCTGGTGGACAATGTTCTTAACACTTCAATATTCAGTTTGAATTTTTGCTCGGTAAATACTATTTAATTACTTACCTTCATATCTCTCAATTATCAGGGAGCTTTTTTTATAGAAAGTGTATAAAAATAAAGTATACTTTAATATAACATTAGAAATAATCCTCTAATCATTATTGCCTACCATAGGTTTTTATTAATTGGAATCCAACCATCATTCTTTGATGCTTTACATAAAATAGTAGCAATGGTACCCTGAAATATTCAACACCTTTTTATTGATTATTGAAATAACACATTTAAAGGGGCATTATCATTCTAACCAAGAATATAAAAGTATGGCTCGTAATTTGAAAGTTAAAATATCTTATATATCAGTGATAGTATGATCTTGACCAGTGAAGATCTCAAAGTCAGTAATGTAGGAAAACAAGTCTTTAAGTAATCATCTAGAACAAAGTCAATAATACAAAAGACCTGCTTCTGAACAATATACAAACATTGAAATCTGTCATTAAAAAGACAATACCAGCATCCACAGAATTTACATATAGTAGAATTGGTTAAACTCATTCCAACTATAATTCCTCTGAAGACAAAGAGCTCTTATATGCTGGTATTTTCCTTCAATATCAAATATACTCAGCCAAATTAAAAACTTGACACTCAGGATTTTTGGGACTAGATTTTTAATATTTGGTTTAAGGCAACTATTTTAGTGTTATGTTGTGCACAGACGACCTTGACATCAACAGAAAGCAAGAATACGTCTCGCTGAAAGTCCTTGACATTGATAACGTTCGTGATGTCACAGTACCCCCCAAAATGAAATTCACAGACTTGGAGAACAATCGGAATAAAGTGTTTAGTAACGGTTGTGGCCTCCTCTAGCGTCTCGTACTGCCACACAACGTCTTCTAATGGATCTCAGAACATTAGTAAACACTACTAGAGGAAGATGTCGCCAGTGCTCAGCAAGAGCATGTTGAAGATCCTGCAACGTCAGTGGTGGATTCACTTGCTGACGAACACGTCGACCCAGTTCGTCCCAGATGTGTTCAATAGGATTAAGGTTGGGGCTAAGCTATGGCCAATCCAGGATTTAGACACCGGCATTTCTTAAAAAATTCTGGGTAGCAATTGCTGTATGGGGTCGAGCATTGTCTTGTTGAAACGTTAGTCCAGGCCCATGTCTCTGCATAAACGGAAGAAGAACAGGTTGCAAAATCTGATCCCTGTACTGGACAGCATTTAAGTTTCCTTGGACAACAACAAGAGGAGAACGTCTATGTGCACAAAAAGAACCCCAAACCATGACGCTGCCGCCACCAAATCGGTCAACTTCTCTGACACATACTTGAGCGTAACGTTCACCTCGTCTGCGGTACACTCAGACCCTACCATCGGCAAATCTCAAAGTGAATCGAGATTCGTCACTAAAGACAACCGAATTCCACTGTCTTGTGGCCCACACAAGTCGGTTACGGTGATGAAGGTGTCAATATTGGTCCATTATAGGGCCTCAGAGCTCGAAGACCAGCAGCCTGCAAGCGATTCCAAACAGTTTGTGCAGTTACCCTTCCACCAAACATCCCTCTACTTGTGGAGGTTGCAGTGACAAATCTGTTTCTAAGATGACGTAATCGTATTGCTTGATCTTCCTGGAGTGACGTCACACGTGGCGCTCCCGCCCTTGGGCAGTCGGCAATAGTTCCAGTTTGAAGCACTCTCATTCTAAGATTAATTATTGTCTGGCGTGAACAATTAAAGGCTCTTGCAACAGTGACCACAGACTGACCAGCATAGAGCCTACCTATAGCACGTAGACGTTCTACATTTGAAAGGCGCGGCATTTTCTAACAAAGATGAAAATAACAATTTTAATTTGTTTTTCCAGTTCAAGTTACGTGTGCGTGTTCAGTTTAAGCAAACTTGCATCGATTGACCTCACGAGTTTGTGTTTGCACATGTTTTTCATCTTTATATCCTCAAAAGTCACGTGATCCACATGACTTTAAAATTTTATGAAATTAAAGGCTTCTTACTACTTACTATCGTTAGAAACACTTTAAAATTTATTTTTGACTTATCAGAAAAAAAAATTTGTTGAAATTCAACAGTGTCAAGTTTTTAATTTGGCTGAGTATATTTTGATTATGACTGCCTTAGTTATTCTTTCTTGTCAGTACATTATTTTATAATAGAGGCTAAAATTAAAGATTCCAATAAAAAGAGATTCATTTATAGAATAGTATTGTCTTACTTACTGTGACTATTCCCCATATCAGTAAACGTTTTATTCTTAAAACCCAATCTTTATGTATCAATAATATTTTACCAGCCTGTAATAAAACATTGCAATATAACACATGAAAGAACAATTATTTTCGCGATGATGAGAGTATACTCTTCGAAATGCCAACATATTAGTAATTGTTCTTGCGTAAGTATGTGTTATACAGTAAACCTCGCATAAGTCGGATCTTCGCTCAACTCGGATAAAATCGTTTGGACCCTTTGATCCTGAACGATTTTCTTATTAAATTTCTGTGCGAAAGTCAGATCTTTGCTCAAATGTTCAGTCCATTTGATCTAATTCCGGCTTTTTTCCTTCGCCTAAGTCGGATCGGCAGTAAGTGCGCAACATGTCGTTAAAAGTATGCCCCCCTCCGCCAAACGTCCTGGCTGATGCCATTGAAATCCAAATACAGAGCAGCGCACAAATTTGCACAACCCGGCCATATAAGACAAAATGAAATTGGAATTTTTGAAAAAATTTGATTGTAATTGGGCTAGGCAAAGCGATAATTGACTGAAGTTTCTCAGCTTTTCAACGATTCCCCACCCCAGCTTACCTAAATTTTGTTTCGTCTTATATGGCCGAGCCACGTAAATCCTTACGCCACCCTACATCTATACCTCAATGGTGTCCGCCAAAGCCGTTTACCAGAAGGGGACGCATTTTTAACAGCATGTTGTTTTGCACATACTGATTCTAGCGAGGTAAGCAAGGTCTTATTTTCTCACTAAAATGTTCCTTTACATTGTTCAGGCGTTCATAGAGATTGACACACGACTGTTTAGCAGTAAAAAGTTGCCCAGTAAAATTGACTTGGAATTGATTTTATTTCGACAAGGATTCAATAGGACGGTTCCTGAATGTACAAGGCCATAATGAGACCTACATTCAGAGCTGAACTAGGTCTTTGGTTAACTCGGATCTTCGCGTAAGTCGGATAAATTGGTCAGTCCATTTACATCCGACATATGCGAAGTTTACTGTCGTTTATTGCTCTATCAGTTACTAAAAGATTATTCACTACCGGTATATATAATGCTGATGTAGGGGTCCACTGATATAATCTGTGTTATTTAATAAAAGCAAGTCCCCTATACCGGTATATTACACACAGTCACAGAAGAGCTTTCGTATAATGCTGTTGGGACTCTAAATCCTACTGAAACCTGTGTTATATAATCTTTAAATGGATAGAGTAACAACAAAAACACAATCTGATTAAAATACAGATCTATATTTCATTTTTTTTTTATACTTTCGATGGGCTACACTACATGAAGATCTGACAAGTTATAGTGGGAGTTCACGTCAGGGGTCAAACGAGTGGCTTTTGACCCTATGATGTCAGACATTGATTAATCAATCAGTGTTGACGTTTCTAGTGGTTTACCCACAGTTCCGTGCATCAAATGGTCAAGAACTCACCCTAACAGACCGTTTCATTGGCTAATCCCTCACATCATCCAGAACATGTCAATGATAACAAATCTTCCAGATCCTAGTGTAGTAAAGACAAGTAAAACAAAATTTTGAACTATAAAAAACGAAACGAAATAGAGTCTGTGTTTTAATCAGATTGAATAAAAACACATACTTATGGAAAACAGCTACTAGTGTATTTGAAGGCGACATTTCGAAGAGTATTCTCTCAACGTTGTCAATTGATAATTGTTGTTACTGTGTTATATAGGTTACACACTATGGTAGGGTCCAAGTTTATATTACTTTGTTTAAATTTGATAAATAATGACACAGATACTCACTTGTAATCCTAGGAAACACATAAAACATGAATTGAGAGTTCCAAGTAATCCTTCTGGATCATATGGTATCACTGTATTATAGATTTCCTGTAATAAGATTAAATCAAATTCGCACAAAATAGATAAATTGATTAAAGGTAAATAAAACAAGCACCACGATGTATTATTTATTAGTAACTTAGCCCTTAGTTGGTTTTATTCATTTGAAACAAAAAATTTAGGTCTGCAAAAGTGTTTGAATCAATACATGATAATTATTAACAGCGGTTCTCAACATTCATCTATATCGTGAGTATTGACAATGTTTCGGTATTACGGTACGTAGAAGAGAACCAAGATCCAACAAAGGTTTAAACCAGCTATCAACACAGCAATAAAGAAGTTGGAATAACTATAATATATACGTTAATAGTGTCAGGGGTGGAGCCTGTGAGACTGAAAAGGAAAGTGGGCCTAGTCACTCAGATGGAATGAAAAACCTAGGTTCACCTGACTACATATTGGTGTGTATGTAAAAGAACTCTTGAAAGTTAAAAATTGAAGAAGAGTAAGGCTGGGCAAAATTCTCCTACGTAGCATTGCACATCTAACCATAGGAATAAAAATGACCGAAATATTGTATTGACAACCAGCGGTCACATTTTGCAAGAGATGGATAGAGAAAAAGCTAAAAAAAAAGCAATTTTTCGTACATTCAAGGGCCACAATTCAGGAAGTTACGATCTGATATGCGCGGATATCGACAGGAACCAAGATCTTTGGGCTATAACGATATATTTCAAGTTTCATAAAAATCGGATCAAAATTGTGACTTTTAGAGGGTCCACAAACTTGATATACCATATATTTACACTATTTGCATACATAGGCGTTTATGGACTATCTGTCTGGGATTCACTTGCTTGGTCTTCGTTCAGATGTGACATCACTTGGTTCATTGAGTGTTTACATGTGCAAACGATTTTGAAACCGAAAACCCAGGGATTTTAAAGGCCTTAGATTTGGGTTTCATGCGAAAAGCTTGCAAAGTTGTTAAAAGTGTGACCAGTCACAATCAGTGACCGTACATTTAAAACCAATAATGAATTTCTTTTATCCTTACATAATGACATAAAATAGAAGTAAGAATTATGCAATTAACGATCCCCTTCAAATAAAAAAATGATGAAAAATGTTGTGTGCGTTTCTTTGTTTGAAGAGTATATTTACACCATTTGCGTATTTTATCTGGCAGCTTTGGTCCGATTTCCACGAAATTTGAACCCAACCGTCATTACGGTGTAACTGTGATATATTCCAACGTTTTTTTAAATCGGATAATATTTGTGACCTCTAGAGGGACCACAACCTAAAAACGCGATTTTTTTGTACAATCAAGGGCCATAATTCAGGAAGTTATGATCCGATATGCGCAAATATCGAAAGGAACCAAGATCTTTGGGTTATAAACATGCATTTCAAGTTTCATCAGAATCGGATTAAAATTAAAATATCGAAAGGAACCCAGATCTTTGAGATAAACCTATATTTCAAGTTTCGTCAAAATCAGATAAGAATTGTGACCTGTAGAGTGTCCACAAACAAATTGTGGATGGACGGAGCAACGACAATATACATTCACATGAAAATGTGGGCGTATAAAAATATTAAATCCAATTCCCATACACATAAAACATCAAAGAAGAAAAAGGTTTTAGTGGGTTTTTTTAAAATAAATTTTGCTATTACTTGAGGTTTCAGTGTAAAGCTGTTTTTTCAAAACTCTCTATATTTGTGATATAAAATCTCAATATTTCCCTATAACACCTTATATTCCGATATATCTATAATTAATTTCCGATTTATTACTGACCTTACAAGTAGGATTTTGATATATATGTGCATCACCAAACACCATTCTGTCTATATAACCTGCTGCACCTCCGGTACAATTATAATGCTTTCCTTCTTCACTCGCTCCTCCGGGTCCTAAATAACCCCTGTAAATATACAACTATAATATATACCTCTCTCTCCGCCATGTCCTATATAATCCCTGTAAATATACAACTATAATATATACTACTTTCACCCTCTACACATGACCCCAATACTTAAACTAAACAACACTTCACGGAACTATTCTAGGCTCAAAGAGTGCTTAGTGATTTGCCTTTGTGTGGTCCTCCCGTTCTAAATCTTATTGGTGATAATTTTTCCTACTTTCTGGGTTAACCTATTAATATGCATGATGTCTGGGTATAAATTACAGGAATTTATGAAGAAATTCTTTTGTCTGCGATATCAGTGGAAGTGGACAAATGAACAAAGGAATGTTGATTGTGTATACTGATTTGGGGGGAATAGCTTTGTAATAAGATAGATATATGATGTATATACTATACTGCACTTTACATATTTGGAGGTGCATCAGTTGAATCTTACAAATGGGTTCCTTAGTCCTGTTAATCTGCATTCACATTGATTTACCCATAGCAAATCAAATTGTATCAATATTTGTGTTGACACTGATCAGTTTAAAATTTGTGGAAATATTGAGATACTAATCCACATATGAACACAGCCTTTGTCTTAATGCCCAGATAGTGAATTGTGGAAATGAAATATACTAAGGAAAATATGTAAAATATAATAAGTACTTACGTAGGACAGTCTGGTACTTTTAAATAAAATGTTATGGCAAGATGTGTAATAATAAATGTTAGGTTTATAATCCATTCTGGCCAATAATATAATATATCACGTATGGAAGACCACCATGAATCCTACAAATAAATACATGTACAAATATAGGTTAACATACACAGACAGCAGTTTAGTCGTCCTAGTAGTCCATAAAGGTTGTCACACCCATATCACAATTTTATCCTCTAAAGTGTTTATAAGACTTTTCAGTTTGATCAAGGGCAATAACTATTTTATTATTTCTAAATGAACCATGACTATGCAAGTAATTATAGAATAGATTGCTTTGCCTCATGAATATAAACACTGTGTATAAATTTAGTTAATTGGTTGAAAACGTTTGGAATTGTGGATGGACGGACTATAATATGTTGACCACATTTCAATGTAGGGTGGCGTCTAAAAAGAAATACACATTATTGAGTACAAGGAAATAAAAACACATAAAGAAATACATTTATACAAATAGATATGGTTAGGAATGTACAGAAAATGTACAATATACATACAGCAGTATATTTACACTGTAAAGTTAATATTGTTCACTTATGAAGACATGACTTTTAGTTTTTACTAATGAAATATCTAAGGCATCAGTTTTTTTGTTTGTTAAAATTGTTAGTAATCAGGCTGTAGTCCTTACGTTACGAAGGTGTTACGGTACGAAGGTATTAAATTGTGACTAATTAATGATATACACCACTATTAATCAGGTTTGTGTATTCAGTACTGGTGGATATTAGAAATAGTCATGCTTTGACACTAGAAATGGCATCTTTTACACCTAGTTACCCGGTACACACCTGCTAATTAATGACTCCTGTAAAATTATAACCACTTAATAAACATTAGTTTAGATAAACCATGTTTTAATTTCACCTTGATTAATAAGTGATCAGTTGAGGTAAAACAACTATATTAATGAGTGATCAGTTTAAGTAAAAAACATTGATTAATAAATGAACATTACAAAATATTTACCCGACTAGCATCACTGGAGCGAGCAAAGAAGATATGAATACCAGCTGTTATTAAATAAGTTCCTGCAAATCTTTGTAAAACTCCAGGAATACGAAATAATTCTAATTTAACTCCTTCTACAATGAAAATAAAAATCATTTACAGTAAATACATGGTATGAAGTGTATACAGAAATATCTGAACATAAATTCAAACACATAATGAAGGCAGCTCTCCTAATAATGAATAGTTTATGTAAAATAAGAAAATAAGAGTATATAAATGAACTAACCATTATAACCTGAAGAGTTGACAAGTAATCCCAGTAGAAATAGAATCATAGATCTTTTTATCACTTTTAATAACATAAATTTCTTAGACATTCCTTTTCGTAACTGAGCTGAGAAACTGTAAGCCATAGCTGTTCCCATAATAAATACAAACCTGGCAAATACATTTATATATTATCAAATTAAAAGAAAATGACCAATGTGTGTAAGCATTAAAGGTGTATAAGCTCTTGAATAATCTATGAATGTTTCGTTCTCCTTTGAGTGTTGTTTCATCCCTACCTTTTCAGTTTACAAGAAAATATTTATTATCATAATACGATATTTTTTGCATTGTTAGAAAGATAATTAATTTAGCTGAACATTAAATGATACAGTACCGAATCATTATGGAAAAGGTTTTGAAATATTGAATGGGGAAGAGGAAACATATTCATACTGGATTTGGGTCATTTTTGATTATAAAGCACACAGAATTGTAAAAAGAGAGTTAAGGTAGACTACTGATATCTATATAACTTAAAATATGTTTATAAACATTTCCTGGAGATGGTTTAAAAGTACTCCATTCTATTTCCCTGCTTTAAGCATTCCCTTAAAGTTTTTATAAGATACTTTCATCTTATTATGTGATTTTCAAATTAAATAGTAACAGTTGTGTTGTATCACTTTGGCACAATTATATTAACTGCAAATTATTTTAAAAACTATAAAAATTAATTCTTTTTTTAAATATACAATCATTTAAATGTAAAAAAAAAGGTTTAAAAATGGTGCTGTTAATCAGGAATATAGTTTCTATATTTCAATACTTACTCAGATACGCACATATAAATGTTAAGCAACAAATAAAATAAGGTGGGAATTACACAGTGAAATAAAAAAGATTACAAAGGCTTGTTATATCGACCAGCAACTGAATAAAATTTGCTACTACTATTAAATAAAAGGCTGGAAATGATGTGTAGTTACATAGTTGTTTAGTTAAATATGTGAAACATTCACGATGAGTTTTAAGGTTGATTTCAGCTCGCCTTTAAATTACTAGTAGTCTCAGGCAAAGTTTGTTTTAAATAGTTTACATATGAAACTAGGAAATAAATCATTTAATTCTCAAAAACAATTTGTGAAATTTTAATTTCTGAACTTCACAATTTATAGTGTTATAGTTTACAAATCTAAATTACATCTTTGTTTTCCAGGAACATATTAATTTAGATTAATATTTTCCAGAAACATATTATATAGCTCTTCTTAGAAACATATTATCTTGCATTAATATTTTCAAAGTGGCAGATTATGCCTGATAGACCCTTGAATTGAAAATTGTTAATTTTGTTAGGATTTTCATCTGTAAATACATTTAAAGTTTAGTGTAAACCATCCTAACTAAAACATATCCTGAGTATTATGTGGAAAAGGACAGAAAAAAATATTGACTGAAATTTTACAGTGAATCTGTTACATGCATGAATGGTGAAATAAACACAAAATGAAAGAGATATTGAGAGCAAGACAACTGTCATTGGTGGAACAATGTATGCTGCTATGACAAGTTAATCAGTTTAATCAGACACCTGCCGTCTGCTAGAACAACTAGCAATCAATATTTAAACAAGGTAGAGATAAGGAAAATCTTAACCAGTTTCACTTTTTAAATCAAGAATAAAGGAATTACCAAGGAAAAACTAAATCTGCTACAGTAACACCATTCCAATCTGAGTGGTCCAAAAACCAATACCCCCCACCTCCATAGTTGACAAAAATCATAACAGTTAAACACAATCTAAAGTAATAATAGATGTTAGTAAGTTTTAAGACAATAGTTATTACAGGTGCAAAGCTAATATATTCAACCATAATGCATAAAGTCACTACATTCAGAACTGATGGAAACCCATCACATGTATCTACCGAAAAGCGCAATAAATCTTTCTCTAAAACGGTTATTAAAGGAGTAAAAGTGGGTTTATGTAAATCTGGGACATCTCTTTTAACACAAATGTGTTCAATGATGTTTTTTTCAAAATTTGTGGAATAAATATTGAAATTTCAAAAGTTATGTGCTCTGTGTTTTAAAGGACAATATTGGTGTCAGTCATTATCATTCCAAATATAATTTTGACACAGAGATCATTGCTACGTTATGAAGCGTCCAAGAAAAAGAAGTGACGAACGCAAAAGGGAAACATGAGTTATCCTTCTATATAACTAACTGAAGTGATGAGTGATAACAGATTCACAGGCTTATTTCTGCTCACTAATAATTCCTTAGAAGACCAAAAGTTGTTATATGACTGTGGGAGGATATCTGACAATTCAAAAAAATAATTGACTCTCACTAGATAAGAGAAAACGAGAAAAATAGAAAAAGTCTGTGCATTACCATGTTTTTATAAAGTATAGAATGAAAAAAAACAAGGGAATGTACGGGCCATTTCTAATTTTCTCGTTTTCCCATATCTAGTGGCATTCAATTACTTCTTTGAATTATCTGATATCCTCTCACAGCCTGACATAACAATTTTTGGTCTTCGAAGGAATTATTAGTGAGCAAAAATTCGCCCGTGTATCTGTTATCACTCGTCACTTAAGTCAGTTATATAGAAGGATAGCTCATGTTTTCCTTTTGTGTTTGTCACTTCCCTTTCTTGAAAGCTTCACAACGCATCTATCGTAGCAATGATCTCTGTATTAAAATTATATTTGGAACGTGTTTAACCAGTTCTATCACATATGTGATAATGACTGACACCAATATTGTCCTTTGAAAGCTTCCATTAGTTCTGTACGCTACAACTAGCATGACTGTTCTATTCACTACACCTAAACTCACCATGGGAATACAATATCTGCTACTGTCAATCCATTCCATTTGGAATGTTTAAAAAACCAATAATCTCCCCCACGATAATTAACAAATATCATAATGACTATAGCGATCCTGTATGTGAATAAAAATTTAATACAAGACAAAATGTCAGTTGAATAACTAGTGATATAACTACATGTACTTACAATTCAAGGACAATTATACAAGTGAACTGTTTGGGTTCTTGGTTTTATGATATATTCTGATAAATCTATTATTCCCAAAAGCATCAATATTGAAAGTCATAGAAAGTGCAGACACTTTTTAGCATCAATATTAACCCGTTAACTGCGTATATATAAGATCCTGGACAACTGTCACTCACTGTGTGTAGGGCGTAATATAACGCCTTGGAGGTATTTTCCCCAACCTATTCTTCGAACATACGATCGCAGCATGTGTAGGACGTTATATTACCCTGGTCGAGGAAATCTAATTGAAGGGAGACAACTCTATTTACCGTTAGTTTTAATATGGTTTCAGACTACTATCATTTGTATTCAGGAATAAAAAGGTCCAAAAATGACGTTTTTCGTCAAATTAATTACACAATAGGGGGTAGTTAACGTTTTAAAAACTACACACTTAACGGGTTAAGAAATAAAACAAAATGGTACTTAAAGTCTTACATTTCTGCACAGACTAATGAGAAACAGGGCATATGCCAAGCAATGTGCTGTGAGGGAAATTTTCCTTGGACAGTGATGCAGAACCCTACTCTTATTTTGATTTCCAACTGTCAGGTGATCTTTAATATGCTGCCAATGGTATACAAAACAGACCTTGACTTTATGTTCGATCTGAACGACTAGATACTTTTCCTGCACCATTGACAAGGGGAAATCGGACTGGAATATCCTGAGGATCTTTCTTGGTCAACTACAGGATTAAACCAGGGACATCCTGGTTAGTATGCAGCACCATACTCACAGGGGTAGAATGGCTAACCAGAAATAATTAGACAATTGTTATTTCATTTGGTTTGTCTGCAGATGTCTTAATCACCAAGGTTATAAAAACATACAGAAGTGCAAGTACATGTATCTTACCCTCTAAAGGAATCAAGTGACTTTAATCTCTCTTTTTTAACTTTTTTATCATCTTTATTTGCTGTAACTGAACTGCTGGAATCATCAGTTGCATTAATATTAGTAGGACTTCCTAGATCCTAGTTAATAAAACAGGTTAATAAAATAATAATGAACCCAAGATCTAGCATATTAATATTTGTCCAGTTAAAATGTGTTCAAGATTGATGTGGTAGAATTCAACTTTAAAGATTAACAGATATATGTGTGATTAAATCAACTGTCAATTTCAGCAGACCCATGTATTAATGGTTGTATCATGGAATGATAATGGGTTTAACATCCTACTATTCTGCGTCAATCAGACTACAGTGAAACTCTCTGGTGAACCTCGATCCTTGCAAAGGGCTATGTCCAACAACAAGGGTATACTAGACTGGAAAATCTTGAGGAACTTTCTAATCCAACACGGGGATCGAACCCCAGATTTCCCAGGCACCGATCCATATTGGCTCCACAAAGCAATGAAAACAGATTATATACAATACTTACAACCATCATACCTTCTGTACTCCAACAACATAACAACCGATGAAATGTACCACGACTGTCAAATATTAAAGATACATTATGGAAGATTAGATAGAGTTAAAAGTTCTTGTTATAATATTTAAAAACTAGATAATATAACAGGAATATTCTGAAAATTTCAGTCAAATTACTTCATTCTGTGCCGAGAAATACTCAGGTTAATATCATTGTAGCCTCAATTGTCATTATTACCATTGTTACGATAATAAACAAAGTCTTGATTTTCCATTATTACGGTTAATCATCAAAAGCCGTTGAGGGACAGATCGGATTCAAATCTAATGAAAATCAGATGACATCGAGAGTTGAGATTTAACCCTTGCATAATGTATGTTTAATAAATCAACTTTAATTATAACCTATGCATTGCATTCAGCATTAGTATTCTGTTATTCAGAGTTAATAAAATAATGATCAATAGCAACATATTTAACATAAATACTAGATTGTATACAGTCCTTACTAATAATTGCTTCCTTTTCATATTTGAAATGTTATTTTTTTTCTAAGAAAGGATGTACTTTTTTTCAAAATGGTGTTTTTAGAATTCAAATTTGGTTACAATTAAGCTGATGGTTGACTTTTGCAGACAAATATATAGTCTTCTTTAATTAGTTTCAAATTTTAAGTGATATGCAAGAATCTATTGAAGATCTGAATAAACTATACATACTTATATAAGTCTTTTAGAACAATCCATATGAGTGATGCACCAACCCCAACACCAATAGCAACATAGATAGCTACAAAACATACAATTCAAAGGTGAATTTGAATTGTTCATTTAATGAAATGCCTTGAAAAGGTTCCATTTTAGAATAGCATACAAATATGTATTTGGCAATTCCATTTATCTAGTAACTTGTAAAATAAGGGTTGAGAAATATTGCTGAGTTAGTGCAAAAACCATGAAATTTCTTTTACAAATATCAGTAAACTCGGTACTGAATGACATTTCAACCTTCATTCCAACTATCCATTTCAGGTGAAATGATCAATTTGTCTATACTTCTACATTAAACTATTTCTTTTACTTGTAAATTAAATTCATTTTCAAGAGAATTTAAGACCAAATACTTTTAAAATAAAAATGTAAAACTTACGTATATTAACATCAGGTGGATCATTGATTAACTGTGGTGATGAACAGTTAACATTATTGGCAATACCAGATATAGTAATAAATATATTATATATTCCTCCCTCTACAAATGACATAGATAACATATCTTCACTGTAAGTATAAAATATTGCATAACATAAATATAATATATTGTCACTGTAAATATAACTTACATTATGAGATAAAAATAATATATCATCACTGTAAATATAAAATATAGTATAACATAAAGATAATAGATCATCATTGTAGATATAAAATACAGTATAAATATAGTGACATGAGACCAGAAACAGGAATAACACTTACCGACAAGAATGACTACTTGTACCATCTTCTGGTTCTATGGCTAATCTTGTTGGCCATCGTGTATCAACTAATAAAGAACAATTGACTTTTGGACTAACAGTAATACCGGTAGACAAATTACACTGTAAATATAATATAAAATTTATCACAGCATATTATTTACTACTACAGAATATTTTTCAAGTTTGTTTATTTTAATATGGATATCAAGGCAAAAGTGTAATGAAACAGATTATTTTCCTTGTCTGATAGTTTTAAACGAAATGGGGTTTAACGTCCTACTTTTCTGCTCCAACTTGGTCATACAGCGCTATGCGTGAAATTTCGCCAGGAGAGTGCTATTTTGACCTACTCCTATTTCAAATTCCAACTATCAATCCACATCAGCCAGTGTATATAGTGGTAAGATGTGTAGTCCCTGTGATGTCACACGCCAATCAACTGGATTGAGGCTGAGCTTGAATATTTACAAAGTGTTTTACGTGGTCTGATATTTAAACAGTATATCGAATAATTATAATTAGATCGGTGTGCAATTGGTTAAAGTGTTTATAATATAAAAACTGGCTTCAAGTACATATGGTCATTTGATGTGCTCTTTAAGGATTAGAGAGTGGGATTTGTGACCAAATGGTCGCATGTTTGCGACTTCAATTGTGCATCAATTTCTTGTGTCCTTGAATGGGACATTTCATTCTTATGATCCAATCTACCCTGCTCCAAAAGGGGTACCAATAGGATGGTGTATGCAATTAGTACATTTACATAAAAAAACTGTTTAGCTCTATAAGTAACATGATTTGGGTCTTTTTATTAAGATTTAAAGAGCTCAGAGTTAATTGAATTTAACTGAATACCAAAAACTAAGTTAAATTGGTTTCAGTGAAACACAAAAATCTGATTATCTTGAATTATTTATGCAATACATGTATGCTTCAGAAACATAATCGGCATGGATGGATGAATAAAGCTCATTTCAATATACCGCATTAACTTTGTCCGACGCGAGATAACAAGCCAACCAAATTTCAACATTCTACCACAATAAGAAGAAGTGTTGTTTTTTTTACATGTATATATTATTTTATTATGTTTTATATTTTAAGATTGCTTGATAATGACTAATCGAAACGGTGCTCAGTAATAAGCAGTAATTGTATGTCATAGAATTGAGACCTGTATATTCCAATTCAATTGCTAAATGCTATTGAAACAATATAGATTTATTGTGCTCAGAAAGTGTGTTTGAGGTATCCATTTTAATAACTCCCTACTTTCTCTAAAAGAAATCAAGAAAATTCACCACGTACTATATGTACAGTATTTAAAATACCCACTTTAATACAGTATATATTTTTCAACACGGAAACATTTCATCAAGTTGCCAACAAATGTCACCCATAAGCTCTATACATACCTTGTAACATTCTGCACTTTGCACATACAATGTCAAGGTGACATTTTTATTTTTGTCATTGACAACATGAAGTAGAGCGAGGTCCATCTTGACATCATCTTTTGTAGCTGAACATAATGGTATATATCCTTGACAATATGACACAGAAATACATGACAACAGTAAACACAACCCTACAATATAAAAATAATAATGTGTTAATCAAATGCTGGTAAAGACATTATTATTGTCAACATGTTATCCCCATTTGTGAATAGAAAGTTTTTTTAGTAGCAATCTTGATACAGATCCGAAAAATTCATTAGTGCTAACCCACATCTCTGTGATATAGTCAGGCCTTCTTCTGAATGTGAAACTATATACTATGTATTTATGAATCCATGACCACACGGACCAAAGACCACTTGGACTAATAGACCAGGAGCCCATGGGGTCAACCTAGCTGAAAAGTGTACCAATTTTCTTCTATATGGTATCAATGTATGTATATTTGCTATCATCAGAATGTAAGTCTGCCGGGTTTCTGGTGGTGGGTGTGGTATTCATTGCCCTAAATGCCACGACCCCCAACTAGGCTAGATTAGCTCAAAAGTGTACCAAATGAAAATCGTACAGCAGTGTACCGTACATCTTCAGGTATTACAAAAACTCTGACAGACATGTCTAGTGGTGGGGTACCCCTGACAGAGCTATGTAATTGCCAGACATTTGTAGTGATGGAGTATCACTGACAAGAGTTATCTAATATTTATACCAAAGCTAGGCTAGATTAGCTGAAATCTGTACCACCTAGTAAAACAGCTTTGGAGTTGTTCAGTACCACCACAGGAGTCATGAATGACCACTGCCAGACAGTTTGTGCGATGGGTTACCCCTAACAGACACGGTCATTGAAGCTGCATATTGTGCATGCAATATAATATTGAATATTGCAATAGAATTTAGAAACTAAAATGTCAAGTAATACTACTTAATAACTTAACTAAATAGTAATGATTGATGTATGTTGTTATTTACAGACATTACAGTGAAAAAAGAATATCTAATACAAGTTAAGTTTTCTTCCATGTTGATGAATGGCAGTCTCACCAACAGAAATCTCAATAGTTATAAACCAATCATACGAGCATCTGAATATAATTTACCTATAACAAGGGGCATCTTTCCCCAAGAAACCTTCATGTCAATTCTTTCGATGTCAGGTCGCCGCCATTTTCTTATCACGGGACTGTCACGTGACGTTATATCTGAGCTGCGTTAAATAAAAATAGGGATTGGTCATAGATTTATAACTCTGTGGGATTGGTTTGTAGGGAGGGAAAGTAAACGCTGCCAGTTCTGGGCTCTTTCAAATTTCCGTGTTATTGCAGCTATTTTAATACCTGAACAATTCCATTCCATTAGTATATAGTAGATAAACAAATTATTAAAGGACAAAATTAAATACTTTTATTCCTATGGGGTGCGGTTAGTTTATGAAAACAAAAACAAAATGATTAAATGTAGTTACCCCCCTTTGTACATTATGTCTTCAGTAAACTTCAGACTTTGAACCCAATGCCCAACAGATCGCCCAATGCCAAGGATTGGGACTTAAGATTGCAAAAAAGGAAGATGTCGGGGCAACAGGCTTTTAGTTATGTCGAGAAATGTCTCGAGTCTTATAAACACGTTTTTAATCCGGATATTTTGCGGTAATGATCTGATTATTATAGGGCCTACTATGACTATAGTTTTCCGTGCACACATTTACGACTACGTTCCGTTTTTATTATCATAAGCGATATACCGTACCGGTATAAAATTATAATTGCTTAATGCTTGATCATGTATGATATCATGAGTATTATCAAAAATCGATATAAATTATTGTTGTTTAAGTTGAAATAATTGTAAATCGTGCTAGCCCTATCGATGAGGTCTGTGCATGGTTAGATCACGGTGTTGGTCAAGAAAGCGTCGTTTCACCTTGTCAGTGGGAGGAGGGAGGACCTGGCAATAATTAAGGACCATGTCTAGTCATTCGTATGGGGCGAAAAACCAAGGTCCTGTGTAGCCTACACATTGGCAAGCACTTATTAGAAACCTTGACAGTTGTAATTTGATGTGAGAGTGGACTGTTAGTGCCGCTGTCTGGGCAAAATTTCCCTCGTATCATACTGTACGGTGTATGCCTGTCTTCATTAGCTCTATCGGTGCAGAATAGTAGGATGTTAAACCCCATTTTATTTCATTTATTCAGAAAAGTAAACCCAATTGCATTTCTATTGATATGTAATTTCAGAGACAAAGTTGTATTCATAACTGGTGGAGGTTCTGGAATA